TGGGATTTCAGTAAGAGCTTCTTTGGTGAGCTTCATCATTCTGTGCCACTGTTTCAGAATCAACAGTATACCCCCAACATACCAAGGGCCTCCATCAATAACCTTTTTACAACTATCAATGTGGTCAAAAATAAAAAATATGAACCCCTCTTCATTCATTCGGACTTCCTCAAGACCCAAGTTCTTCCACATATTGAAGGCATTATTTTTTATAAAAGTGAAAGACAAACTTCTATCGATAAAATACCCAACCAAACACGATTCCCAAATAGGCAAAACAGATGGAACTGGGAGATCAATCAAGATCGAATCAGAAGAGAATGAAGGTTGGACAAAATCAAGCTTTACCTCAGAGTGAACTGGAGTAGAAGCGACATTAGCCCAAGATTGGGCCCTCGTGACATTCTGTTGACGGTTGACCCACACGTTGCCCCTACTACCTCGACCTCCACAGAAACTAGGGTTAGCGCCACCCCTTCGGCGTTGCATACCACCACGATGTCCTTCAAGAGGGGTTTGCTCTCTTTCTATCACTGGATCTAGGTTAGGAATATCCCTCGCCAAGCAATCGCCAATAATAGAGGGACGATCTGTCAAATCGGAGATACCTAGACCCCCCCATCCGAAGAAGAGGCTATGTCCACATTTGTAGCATCAGTAGAACGAGAAAACCCTCTAGCCCTAGCCACGACCAAACTATCTTGAACCCCCTTAACTCGAGCATCATTCCCTACCTCAACCAAATCGGCCCACTTCAGGCTGAGATCTGTCAACGACGACGTCACAGCAACGCTACGGGATGGTGTCGGATGGACCGTTGAAGGCTCATGCTTCAGATCTTCGAGCTGACTTGTAATATCTTGGACCGACACAGAAGGAATCTCCTTCAAACCTAGTTTACTCAGAGGATCATTGTTCACAAGAGGAGCTGTGATTAGAGCACTCTCTCTCATAACATCAGACTTAACAACGTCACATAGAGTATTATCCCCACTCAACAGGTAACCCACTTCATTTTTCCCTAGTGATCTAATAGGTAGCTTCGATCCAATATCGGCCCCAGTAGTTACAATACTAGATTCAATGAGAGACATCCTTGATCGCGCAGTTCAATGAAGTATTGAATGCAAAAACCCTAGAACCAGAAGTTTCCAGAGAGAAGGAAGAGCTTCTCACTCTACATCTTAAAAAGCCAATCAATGTGTTTAAAATATACAGCAAAGACTTTTATCATTTAGTTATTTTGATTCAATTTGAACTATCTAGTGAGAAATCACATCTTATTTCTTCAATTATCAAGATTGAATTCCTCTATATGAATAAATGTTTATACATATGTGTATGTGTGGAGATTTGGAAATATCATAGAAGTAAGTAGTGTTTATGAGTTTCAAGGAATTAAAGATTTAATTCATATTCAAATTGTTATATGTTTGTACTTCCTATTTATGAACCATGTTCTGGAAATTAATGGATCTATTTTGAGCCTTGTACATGTTCACCAAAATTGGGTTTTGCTTGAAATTTGGATTGCACAAACAGAGCAAATCGCCGCACGTGCGGGGGTCATGGCCGTACGTGTGGGAACACTGCCGCACGTGCGGGAGTCATGGCGGCACGTGCGGGAAAATAGAGCATTTTGGGTTTTGGCTACTGGAAAAAAGGCACGTCTGGGACCTCCCAGCCGCACGTGCAGGAGCCACTGCCGCATGTGCGGGGCTCACTGCCGCACGTGCAACCCATGCTGGAAATTTCTATCTGCTTTGTTTCACTTGCTGGACCCTCTGATATTGTTGAAAATTATAGTTGATGCCTTTAAATGTTTGTAAATTTATTCGAAGCGAAACGAATTAGAAACAATTTAAAAAGGAAAAAAGAACTAATGTATGAGTTGTGCATGTGTGTAGGTCACAACCCGGGAGGAACAATCGCTCCGCTACAGCACTGTGAGTACTAGTACTATAATCGTACATTTACCTATCGTTAATAATTTTTATTATTAACGCTCTGTTCTTCGCAAGTTAATTACGTTAATATTTACAAATGATTGGAAAATCTGCTTACATTGATACAACTCTGGAATCACTCTGCTTTGTTAATATCTGGGCCTAAGACCAATCTATGAAATACTCTTTACTTATTGCTAATAATTATCATTAGTACTCTGTTAAACGCAAATTAACTATGTTAACTCATGTGAACGATTGAAAGAATCTGTGTGCCTCTGTATAACTCTGAGACTAGTCTATTCTGATGATATCTGGGCCTATGGCCATTTTGTATAATCTGTTAGGCCAGAGGCCGTTCTGTATAATCTGTTAGGCCAGAGGCCGCTCTGCTAAATCGATTGGGCCTAAGGCCGTTCTGTGTGATACTGGACGTGAAGCCGCTCTGTATAAAGTTTGGGCCCAAGGCCGTTCTGGAAATATTTACAGGAAAAGATTAACCATGTGACCTCTGTCCTTAAATAAATTATAATTCAAGTTCATTCATTAAATTGTTTAAGTACTATTATTCACTGAGCCTCGCTCACTTTGTGTTATGTCTGTCTCTATAGGCAATCAACCTGGAGGTCGGTCTTAGTGCAGCATTGGTCACTCATTTTTGGTCAAGCAAAGTGAAGAATCTTAAGTGTTCTCTGGCATTTCCTTAATGACCCTTAGTTTGGTCTTTAACCTTTTAATTAGTTGTATATACCCTTCCTTACCAACATATTTGTTGTATGCCCACATGTGAGGCTGGTTCTGTACATATGTTCATATATGTTACTGAGTGACTGCAAATATCTGCTTCTCGTATGTCTGTTTATCATATTTGGAACTGTTTAAGGGCACATTGAGATCCTGGCATATAGGTATGAGCTCGATAGATGTTAATTTATATTATTTTATATTATTAAATGCTTCCGTGCAGGCCCCATATATTGTATGTATCGAATCAACTGTCCGTTTCTGAAGTGATCATGCCCAAACTTTTAGGGGCGGGTTTGGGGCGTAGCACAATCCCCATAGCATTTTCTGCTTTAGCTAGGAATTTTAAACTCCCCTTCCGAATCTGTTCTTGGATCCTGTCCCGAAAAATAATACAGTTTTTAGTTGAGTGAGACCAAGAATCATTTACAATACACTTTTCCTTTAAGTTCCTCTGGAGACGAAATTTTGACTCCTTTTGATAACTTTAGGAGGTTTACCACAAGCAAATGATCAAAAATGTCATCTGCCTTTGTTAAATCGAAAGAGTATTTCTTATGAAGGTCTTTCTTTTTAAATTGCTGGTCAATTATTGTGTCTTTATGAACTAATGCCTCACAGATCACAGGTTCTTTCCCTACAATCTCTGCTACATCAATCTCATAATTAGGATCTCTATAATACATCTTGTATGATGCGTTACTTCGATCTTGTTCTTCCTTTAGTAATGCTTCATACCTAGACACCTTATAGGTTAGTTCCACTAAGTCTCTAAACTTAGTTGAGTCAAACTTCTTTCGAAGCCTAAACTCTAAACCATTTTGAGCCAATCTCACGAATACAGGCTCTGGTAGGATGATCCTACATTTGTTTCGTGCTCTTTTGAATCTGGCACCAAATTGAGCAGCCTTCTCATCGGGCCTTTGATTCAACCTTGCTAAGTCTGTTATGGAAACTTCTGGCTCCGTTTAGAAGAATTGGGCATGAAATGCCTCCTTTATTTGTTGCCAAGTTTGGATAGAGCCAGGTGTAAGATTAATACACCATACAAAAGCTGCCCTAGTTAGAGAATTTGGGAACAGTCTTAACTTCATGTAATCATTATTGGTAAATTCATTGCATTGAGCAGTAAACCTAGCAATATGCTCCACCGTTGACTAGTTTCCATTTCCATAAAAAATGAGTAATGTCTGGTATCCTAAACCCTCTCGGGTATTCATGTACCCGGGTAAGGTTTCTTGTAGACAGGAGTTTGAACCCCCCGAGCCATCGATCCACACATTTCTCTAACAATATCAGCAATTTGGTCCCTAGGAACCATATTTTGTGCTTGTTGAACCACGACTGGAGGACAAACACAGGATTTGGTGGACAGCCTTGTGCCTGAGATCCTCTTGGTCCATAGGGCAGTATATTTGGGACTAGTTGTCCCTGTGATGCTAGTTGCTGTTGAGGGTATGGGTAACCCTTCTGAGCCTGTCCTGTGAAAGGACCTGCAAAAGGTGCTGGAACAGGTGTTGTGTCTCTTCCAGTCGCAGGAAACCCTTCCAACCCCCCGGGTACAAATTTGAACAAAGGATTAGTGAACTCCCTTGTGCCAGGTATGGCTTCGAACATGGGATTTGGAAGCATCCTTATGCCATTTTCTTGTGTTGGCCCGGATCCACCAATTTGCATGGCTTCATTGTTAAGTAATGAAGCATTTTGATTTGTCACATGCCTCGAAAGAGGCTCATACCAAGACTGAGGTGATGGTCTTTCATAGTTTTGGTTATTACTTTGACCATTAGTATGTCCATTACTTTGCATAGGCTGTTTATCTCTAGCCAATCTTTGCTGAGGGACATTTGAAATTTCCTCTACGTGCCTTGCGTTAATTGGTTGATGAGTATTCATTCGATCCATAAAGGATGTTGCCCATCTTTCTATTGTGTTCATTAACTGCTGTCCTATGGCATCTACTAGGCCTCTCCATGGATTTATTGGCTGAGTAGATGGAACAGTGGATGGTCCAATTCCTTGGCCTCGTCCAATATTTTGAACATGTGGTACTTGCCTGGAAGTGCTGGTCTGTTCGACCATAGGTTCTAATAAAACAGGTATTTTCACAGGATGTGTTATCACATTATCCTCTAGATTTGGTATTTTTACCTCTTCTTTCACGCCTTCTTCCAAGCGTTCATTTTCTCCTTGTTTCCTACGTCTAGCCATTTCAATTAGTCCCACCGGGCATGCCAAAAATATATGTTGGCTTTTTCGCCTTTGAAGGTTATTATTGTAATTTTAAGCGTGCTAGCAAGGATCAATCAGTCCTTACAGAAGATTAATTGTCAAGCAATTATCAGACGATTGTGTTTTAGTTCTTTCAGTCTCAATGAAAAGGACTTTTACTGGTGGCTTTATTTAGGAGAATTAAGCAAACAACGATTAAATGAAGAACAATTGTAACATTTCATTACGTAAAAATGAAAGACTTACAATGATCCAATTTAGCCTCATAGAGGTTTACAACAACAAACTACTTAAAACTACTCCTATGAACGAAGTGCAGTATAGGAATTTAAAGTACAAGAAATGTAAAAACTGGAAGGAAAATAAAGTAGATAAAACTAGTTTTGTCAAGTAATGAAGCATTTTGATTTGTCACAGGCCTCGAAAGAAGCTCATACCAAGACTGAGGTGATGGTTTTTCATAGTTTTGGTTACTACTTTGACCATTAGTATGTCCATTACTCTGCATAGGCTGTTTATCTCTAACCAATCTTTGCTGAGGGACATTTGAAATTGCCTCTACGTGCCTTGCGTTAATTGGTTGATGAGTATTCATTTGATCCATAAAGGATGTTGCCCATCTTTCCATTGTGTTCATTAACTGCTGTCCTATGGCATCTACTAGGCCTCCCCATGGATTTATTGGCTGAGTAGATGGAACAGTGGATGGTCCAATTCCTTGGCCTCGTCCAATATTTTGAACATGTGGTACTTGCTCCGAAGTGTTGGTTTGTTTGACCATAGGTTCTGATAAAACAAGTATTTTCACAGGATGTGTTATCACATTATCCTCTGGATTAGGTATTTTTACCTCTCATTTCACGCCTTCTTCCAAGCGTTCATTTTCTTCTTGTTTCCTACGTCTAGCCATTTCAATTAGTCCCATCGGGCATGCCAAAAATATATGTTGGCTTTTTGGCTTTCAAAGGTTATTATTGTAGTTTTAAGCAAGCCAGTAAGGATCAATTAGTCCTTACAAAAGATTAATTGCCAACCAATTATCAAACGATTGTGTTTTAATTCTTTCAGGTTCAATGAAGAGGACTTTTATTAGTGGCTTTGTTTAGGAGAATTAAGCAAACAACGATTAAATGAAGAACAATTGTAACATTTCATTAAGGAAAAATGAAAGA